AATAGTGGGATTGACCGTCACATTATAACGCCCCCACGGCTGAAAGGGCGAGCGTGTTCGGTGTGACGGGGATTCGAACCCGCGACCCTCAGATTGCGAGTCGAGCGCCTTAACCACCTGGCCATGCCAGGCCTCGAAATTTGTTTTAATTAACTTTTAACACTCTTGTTATGAAAACTAAATAATCATTAAATATTAAATCTCTAAATAATAACTCTTACACTAAACAGTCTTGTATATCTAACACTTTGTACAAGTAAGTTTATTTTTACGTTAGTGCAGTGCAGATAGAGCGGTTGTAAACATAGGCGTACAACAAGTTAAGAGTATACCACCATATAAAGAAACTTTAAGGAGGAAATAAAACTAATTTGTTATTGTTACGTAGACTGGACGTTTAATTGTTTTCATTAAATGATTTAAAAGAATCCTCCAACAAACGAACAATGTAACAAAATTAATTATGCCGCAGCTCCTGCAAGACAAAATAAAATACACTAATTATTTCTTACAATTAACAAATCTACGTAGAATTGTGGTTTGAAGTTATGACAAAGTGTGAATTTAGAGTAATATAAGGTTAAAAGAATTGACTAATATTTTTAACATTTAATTCCTTACCTCTATTTTATTGAGTTTGTCATACTAATGGTAATGTAAACAGATCACGAATTTGTGACATTGGCCGTGCCGTATGCTTCTAATCCACGCCATCTGGTGGTAACAACTGGAACTGAAGTACGCAAACTTCAATGTGACACAGGGGAGACAGAAAGTCTGGTTGAAGTTGACAAAGAGGTTAAAAAACGTACACGTTTCAATGATGGAAAGTGTGACTCTACTGGAAGACTTTGGGCAGGTGAGGAGTTTACACTTTGTACCATACAATGTTATTCCGGCAAATATAATATTATTTTTTCTATTTATACGAAAGTCTAAAATGCTGGAAAAGTAGTTAATGGGATACTATGATCTGTTATTATATTAAAAAAATAAGATTGGTTCATCTTATCTATATTAATGTAAATGTTTTTCAAATTAAATATGGTCTTGTTATTTTGAATTAATTAATACTGTGTGCCAGTTCTGTGCTTTTAAAAGTTTTTGAAAAAGAAACTTAAATCAACTTTAGGAACAAAACATTTTCAAAGTCTTTAAAAGTTACCATCAACTAATTACTTATTTGACAAAGTATGGTATGTAGGCATAGCATGCATTTTGTACTTTCTTTTTTTAATATAAAAGTTTTCAAATTTTCGTTTAATCTGAATCAATGCAGTTTTCGCGTAACACAAGTTTAAGAAAACCGCTGAGTGGTTGCTAGGCCTTCTTCTGGAACAAGACTAGTTTCTTGTAGGTTCGCCAGTTGTTCTAAATGATAGAAAAGTTAATTCAAATGAAATAATATTAATAAACAGTTGGTGTTAAAAATAAATAATATTGTTAATCCTAACCTAACTGATAATAATTACACTTATTTAATCTGCCTCACATCATAACATTTGTTATTCATACAACTGATTTATTAAATATTTGTTCGACCTGGTGGGTTTGGTATTGTACTGTTACGACAGCGGAAGTCACGTGATTCTGGTAACACGTAATGAGTATCTCGAACGTTCCTGAAGGCTCGATTGTTTGCTAGACGCTCTCTATTTTGTATATATAAGACCAGCGAGAAGTGACGGCATAGATAATTGCAGACAGGCAGAGATAGAAGCGGACAATTGAGTTAAGCGCGGTGGAAATTAAGTGTATTGCAAAGTTTAATTGAGAAAGAATAAACTAGTTTTATTTAAGAAAATATTTGTATCGCTGAAGTTTCTCGGACAGAATTTCTACAAAAAATTAACAAACGAACACAGACGTAACAGTATATTCTTATTTCCTTTCATTCAGAAGTTCATAGAATTTGTTCTAGATGCTTTCGTGCCTTTCAATTTGATGTTATTGAGGGAAAACACGTGCTCGTCTCGCTGAATATAGGGGAGTAATGCTGAAGGGTGTGCAAAATGTAGACAACAACAGCACTTTTCGCTGATGGGGAAGATAACACCTAGAGGTTACCGGCCTCCTTTGTGTTAAATTAAAATGACGTATCACATGAGTAGCGCTAGTTGCTATGGATTTGTCCGACCTTCTCGGTTAACTTTAGATTTAAATAGTGTATCAAGTTAATAGGCTGGAGGGAAAACGATTTGAGGAAAAGGCCAGTTGATAAATTGTTGAGTCTAGTAGAAGTCAATTATCCTTTGACCCGAAGGCAAAGGCATACATCAAGACCCATAGTAGTGTGTCGTGTGGCCAAAACAACCTGCTGGACACACTGTGTGTTGTTAACATTAGTGATAGTTTATCAATTTTCCACTTCCTGTAGCTCAGACTGTGTCAATCCAAACTATCCTATATTTTCAATGGATGTGCTCTACTGAACTCTTACTTCACACACCAAATTTAAAGGCAATCTATTAAAAAATACGCGAGATATAAAATCTCCAATTTTGATTGAATTTCTTCCTTTTTTTTCTTCGCACCAACAATACGGAAACCTAATGTGATAGAATATGTACTAAACTTTCATGGATTTTTTTTTTAATTTAGTACACTGATATATCTTTACAACCTACAATTAGGTGTTACATATGCAAAGTTATTCAACAAAATTGCTCAATTTTGACAACTTTGTGCACGCCTACGCAAAAAGTCACGTGAGCTATCTGCCTGAAATTTTTACTACAGCTTCACCTAAGAGTAAAGGTGGACCATTTTCAGTATTTGTCTTTTGGATTTAAGACCGCTGATTTAGAGCAGCAAAACTATAGGGTGAAAGCAGTGCAGATACAAAACTATTGGTTAGGCCAAGCAAACTAGATTAGCAGTTTCTAGTTCAAGTTTTAAAATAACTATAGGGGTGAACGGTTATTATTCATTAATCATTGCAAACTTTTGAGAACAAATTTGATAAAAAAGTTTCGAAATTCTCGTAATTAAAAAGCGTTTACCGTCACGTGATATTAGCGTAAATAATGATGCTTGATACGGGTGTACCGAGTGCACGCGAGTGATGACAAGAAATGGTTAATCTAGTTTACATGGTGTTACTATAAAGGAAATTATTAACACTGTTTTAGAGAGTGAAAACTACCACCATATATTTTATAAAGAATCTGGTTGGTTCTGAAAAGTGTAGGTCTGTTACGAATAATAGGGTTGCGAATCTAAAGGTAATGTTGGCAACTATCGAGTGTCACTTTTTCCTACTTGCTGTAGTTTGTTGGTGTGTATTGACAAAAAATCATGATATTGTTACGACAGCGGAAGTCACGCGATTCTGGGAGCATGCACGCTGGAGTTTCTAGAAGGATTGTGACTTATCGGGGAACCTCACGAATGTCCCAGCTTTTGTTAGACGCCCTCTTTTTTAGTATATAAGCCGGAGATAGATTGAAGATAGCTAATTGATTCAAGCGAACAGTAGGCACCGTAAGTAAAGTGTATGAATCGCTGTGAATTATAGAGTGTATTTATAAAAATACTTAAGTTAAAGTGACTGTGGAAATTCTGTGTATTACAAAGTTGTATCGAGAAAGAATAAACTAGTTGTTACGTCTCTGGTCGTTTGTTGAATACTCGTAAAACATATTTCCGAAGAACTTCAGTGGTACAAGTCTTTTCTCAAATAAAACTAGTTTATTCTTTCTCAATTCAACTTTGCAATACACTTAATTTCCACAGTCAGTTTAACTTAAACACATGCTACAATTCTCAACGAACGATTCATGCATTTTACTTACTACCGCGCTTGACTCAATTGTCCATCTATATCTTCAATCTCTCTGTCTGTTATCCCCTTCCGATTGATTGTCGGGCTTATATTTTGGAATACAGCACATCTAGCAAACACTCGAGCATTCACGAACCTTCGAGATACTCATTATGTGTTACCAGCGTCACGTAACTTCTGCTGACGTAACACTGCCCCTTCTTTAGTATTGTTCGTCCCGAACAATAGTTACTTACATTAAACCAATAGATAATAAACAATAACTTGATTAACTGTACATTATTTACAAACACAAAATTAAAATTCAACAAAGTCTCTTATCTTCTTCCATATTGGTCTCCATCTCATTGGCTTCTGCTTCACGTAAAGTTCATCTGCTCCATCAGGAAATGTCTTATTATCGGTAATAGTCACATCAGTGGTAGCAACTTCATGAAGGGCTTCACTGTTTCCCTTCTCAAAACCGACTAGAGTTTCTTCATCGACAGTGGCTTTTTCAGGTGACACGTCTTCACTTAGTCCCAACTGAAATGTCCTGGACCGTGATAACGCCAAAGCCTGTTGGCATGCACCACCTTTGGCTTACCTCGCCAACCACATTTTTTTCGGAAAGTCACGTCTGAGAGAAGATCCACTATGTCATATGGGCTTTCCCATGAAGAAAACAACTTAGGAGACTTCCTTGGTC